AGGGCTGAGCTCTCTACGAACTTTCTCCTTTTCTGAAACTTGATGGCGACAAACACTAACATAGAAACCAGAAAAATGAAGGAGATGACAGCCAAGCATATGACCAGATACATCGTCAGGGTGCGGTCTTCCTCCACCACCACTTCATCCTTTGGGATATCCACCATTTTCATATAAGGGTCAGAAAAACCATCCACTAGCAGAATGCTTAGCGTTGCAGAGGTGGACTGGGGAGGGTGACCATTATCTCTGACTCCGATTATCAGTTTTTGTTTGAAGGTGTCTCGCTTGTTAATGGGTCTCGTGGTTTTCACTTCTCCATTCTGGGCCCCCACACTGAACAGACCCGGTTCTGTGGCCTTCAGGAGCTCATAGGAAAGCCACGAGTTCTGACCAGAATCTCTGTCCACTGCCACCACCTTGGTGACCAGGTAGCCAGCCTCGGCCCCCCTGGGAACCAGGTCATTGGATGGGGAAGTGCCATTCTGGAGAGGGTAGAGGATGAATGGGGCATTGTCATTTTCATCCATGACAATGACTCGGACCATAGCTTGGGAACTCAGGGGAGGAGAACCGCTGTCCACAGCTTTCATAGACACCTGGAAATCTTTTATCTGCTCATAGTCCAGAGATCGGATGGCGTACAGATTCCCAGTTTCGGAGTTGATGGAGACGTAAGAGGACACAGGTTGATCACTGACCTTCCCAGGCAAAAGAGAATAGGTCACTTTGGCATTCTGCTCTGTATCCAGGTCATCAGCCTGTACCAAGCCTATCAAAAGACCTGGAATATTGTTTTCTTGTATTTGCATTTCATATGCTGACTTCTCAAATACTGGAGCGTTGTCATTCACATCTGAGATCTGGACATTCATTATTCTTATTGAAGTAAGCTTGGGGGAGCCTTTGTCTGTGGCTGTGATGGTGATGTTGTATTCTGAGACACTTTCTCGGTCTAGAGGCTGTTGGGTGACCAGCTGGTAATAGTTATTCTCCGAGGCTTTTAGCACGAAGGGTAGGTTTTCCGCGGTGGTGCAGGAAGTTCTGCCGTTGTCTCCAGAGTCCTGATCGGTGACACTGAAGAGGGCCACCACTATATCTGTGGGAGAATCTTCTGGCAAGGGAGTGGTGACAGATGTGAGGATCACCTCTGGGGCATGGTCATTTCTGTCCTCAACCTCCACAATGACTTTGCAGTAATCTGAGAGCCCCCCTCCATCTGTGGCTTTGATGCTTATCTCATAACTTCTCTCCTCTTCATAGTCAATTATTCCTACAACATTAAGTTCCCCAGTATGTTTATTTAAACTGAATGCTTTGAGCACATTTTCTGGCACCTGGCTGAAGGAATAGGTGACGTCTGCATTAGAACCAAGATCAGGGTCATTTGCTTCCACTTTAGCAACCAGTGTGCCCAATGGGCTGTTTTCCATTACTTTTGCTTTGTACAGAGATCGATGAAAATGAGGGGCATTGTCATTTATATCCAGAACATCAATGATTAATTTTGCTGTCCCAGTTCTCTTTGGGATCCCTCCATCGATAGCAGACAGAATCAGGGGGAAACGCGATTGCTCTTCACGGTCTAATTGTTTGCATAATACTAATTCTGCATATTTGCTCCCATCGCTGCGACTTTGGACATCCAGTCTAAAATGGTCATTTGGACTAAGGGTGTAGTTCTGAACTGCATTCTCTCCTCTATCTGCATCTTGAGCTTTCTCCAAAGGGAATCGAGCGTTTGTTTGAGTCTGCTCGGGTATTGCAAAAAATAATTCTTTTTTAGAGAACTGCGGTGAATTGTCATTCACATCATCTATTTCAACTTCAGTGCGGTGTACTTGCAGTGGATTTTCTAGGACAATCTCCGAGAGTAAGACACAGAGATCTTTCTGACCACACAAAGCTTCTCGGTCTATTTTATCCTTTAATATCACATTCCCAGAGTGAGAATCCAGCTGGAAATACTGCTTGGTGCTTTTAGAAACCAGCCGGGCTCTACGAACAGACAGATCCTTCGCATCCACTTTCAAATCCTTTAGTACATTTGCCACCAGAGACCCACTTTTCTTTTCCTCAGGCATTGAATAGCGAAAGGACTCACATACTTCCCCACACATGCAGAGATACAGGGAAAAAAACCAACCTCGCCAGATGCTGTTGTGAATTCCCATCGTCTCAGCCTCCGTCAGTACAGATTTAACACACAGGATGTTTCCTGGTAAGTTGCTGCATTTATCTCCAGTATATTTTAGAGTCAAATATTTCCAGGTGCTACACTTATTCTGGGAACAGCAGATCAAAGCCACTTCCTTGTACAGTTTCCAAAGATGTTATCTCAGTGACGAGTCGTCGCCTTTGCCTTTCAGATTGGTTTTTTTCCTCCCGTAATTATTGCTTTCCAGGAGAGATTTCCGAATAAGCCATTACTTGAATAGTCTATTTTGTGTTGTGCAATAGCACCACCTTGTGTTCACTCTGGAAAACAACTCCCATGAATGCTATTTACCATTCTGTCTAGAAATAGACATAGCAATAGATGCTGAGGGTTAAAGTGACCTGGCTGCAAAATGTACACAAAGACTGGCAGTTGTTCGTATGAACCGGAAAGAGGGGAGTCTGCAGGAATTGATCACACCAGCAGTGGATTTCACAGATTTGCCTGGAGAATCTGGATAATTTTCTGCTGACATCAGGGTCAAACTCAGGGCTATTTTTGGGCAGGAACGCACAGGAACGGAGTCCCAAGTTGGCTACGCCCAGCAGGAACTCATTAGCATAATAGGCCACACCCAACAGCAGGAACTCATTAGGATTGGCTACATTAGGGGTGTGTGGCCTAACATGCAAAGGAGTTCCTGCTACAAAAAAGGCCCTGGGTTTGGACAACAAACAAGGTAAACAGAATAAGAAGGGAAAGGTGGGTGTGGCTGGATGAGCACACTTCTGGTAACATGGGGGTGCGGCCTAATGTGCTAATGAGCTGTGCTGTCAGGGGTGTGGCCCGATATGCTAATGAGTTCCTGCTGTTGGGTGTGGCCTATTATGCTAATGAGTTCCTGCTGGGCTTTTTCTACAAAAAGAGCCCTGGTCAAACTAGCTATCACAATGGAGATCATTGACTGGGATCTGTGATGAGGTCTGGGGTGAATATTTGCATTGCTTTTATTCAGAGCAGTAGGGCTTGCAGCCGCCAGGCCTCCCTGACTCTACCACGATGCACTGCAGAAGATGGAGGGGAAGGTAGTGGATGGGGCTCAGTGGCAGAGCTTCTGGGCCATGACTGGAGCACCCTGCAGCTGTGCAGCTTCTGACTGGCCACTGAAACCCGGCGCCAGCAAGTGACGTCATCACCCTTCGCTCATGCCCCCTCACTGTAGAAAGGTAAGTTTTTTCTTGCATCATCTTCCTAGCCTAAAATCCTCCTCTCCCAGTTGCCGTGTGTCCCTTTGGAGAAAGCAGATCTCCTGACAGTTGTATGCAGGCCAAGTTGACTGATTAGGAGTTCATGGGATTCAGGGTCCTTTGCATGTGTTAACCTGGAATTCCTGTTCGTTTTCCTGGTTGAAATTTTAATCTTGGCGAGATATCTGAAGCTTAGATCTCAAATCCTAGAAGT